AAAAAAAAAAAAAATCATTGCCAAGATCCATGTATCCATGTCAAGGAGCTTTTTTCCTATGTTTTCTTCTAGGAGTTTTATGGTCTCAGTGTTACATTTAAGTCTTTAATCCATTTCAACTTTTATGAGTGGTGTAAGATAGGGGTCTAGTTTCATTCTTTTATATGTGGCTATCTAATTTTCCCAGCACCATTTACTGAAGAGACTGTCTTTTCTCCACTGAGTTTTCTTGGCTCCATTGTCAAATATTAGCTGACTGTATATGCTTAGGTTTATTTCTGGGCTCTTGATTTGCTCCATTAGTCTATTTGTCTGTTTTTATTCTAGTACCATACTGTTTTCACTACTATAGCTTTTATAGTACAGCTTGAAATCAGGAAGTGTGATGCTTCCCACTGTTTTTTTTTTTTTTTCAGAATTGCTTTGACTATTCGGTACCTTTTGAGGTTCCATATAAATTTTAGGATTGTTTTTTCTACTTCTGTATAAAATACCATTAGAATCTTAATAATCTTGATGGGGATCATTGCACTGAATCTATAAATGGTTTTTGGTAGTACTGACATAACAATGTTAATTCTTCCAATCCATGAACACAAGATGAAATTTTTTAAATTGATAATTGCATCTGTAGTCCAGGAGAACTACAATTCTCATATGCAGGTGTTGGGAATGTAAATTGGTACAACCATCTGGAAAACTATCGGCAATACATATACAGCTTCCCTATGTTTCATTAAATCCACTCCTACAGAAATGAGGGCTGATTTACCTCAAAGGATACGTACAAGAATATCTGCAGCAGTTTCAATCATAATAGCCAAAAACTGGATACAATCCAATGCATAAGAGAATGGATAAAGAATTGAATATTTATACACTGGAATACTACACAAACAATAAAAAAATAACCAACTAACTATAAAAAAGATGAAGTCCTTTATATCCTTTAAGTCTCAAGGAAGAGGTAGAATACTAAGCCAACCAATAGTTCCTCTGTACAAGTTCTATGAAGATAAAATCTTATACAACATTGTTTTGCCATATAAGGAACAATATGAAATCCTGAAACCACAAGTGAACTGCCAAGTATCATTTGCTTGTTCTCAAGAACAGTTGGTGTGTCACCACAACTGACAACAAAAATATACTGAGGTTATCCTAACACATCCTTTCAACAATATCTAGAAAACATTTTTCATTTTTGTCCTAAATCTACTTCACTGAATAACAGTGATCAGAAATAACCCGATTAACAAAGGTGAACCAAAAAGGTCAAAGAGAAGATTGGAAATTACTAATTAAGATGGTCCTTAGCTTTCTACTCACAATTATTCAAACCTTGTCCCCGAGAAGCCAGCGTGCCACTGCTTCTTTCAGCTCAGCCCACATACACAGCCTTTATAGGATGTGTCAATTCTGCTACAGCATAACAAAACACCCTTGGGTAGCCATACATAGTGAAATAATAACACTAATACAATTATAATAAACCAAAATAAAATGTTATAACTAAATCACACTATTAGCAACTTAAGGGTAAGCACCGATGGTAGAACAGCATAACTGCAAAAAGCGCTTAAGGCGTCAGCCTAAGTCTAAAAAATGGCAGCTAAAAATTAGGACAAAACTTCTCCGTATGTCAGTTAATAAGGTGAAAATTAAAAGGAACATTGTGATATTAACATAAGCTCCTATAGAGAATAGAATACCAACCTAGTTTTCAACTAAGACTTAAACACCGGTGGTTCCCTGCCTCCCTCTGGGCAGCTTCTGTTATACTGTAGCACCACCACGTGGCAAAAGACATACTGCAACTCTAGAATTAAGTGGATATTTTCANCCCCCCCACCTAAGGAAAGTTACTTTTGCTATAAAAGCTGTGTATAAACAATAAATGGGGACACTCTCTGCCATCAGCATTGGGTGGACCTCCTGTCCCCAGCTTTCGTCTCTCGTCTCCCACCCAATCCTCTCAGGTACCCTCTCGGTAGAGTCCTGGCTGACGAGTCAGGAGTGCTTGTTTAGTGCGTGGGTCGCATCAACGCCCAACTAAGCTGGCATAGTGTGTCTTCTTTAATGTTCCAGAACATAGGGTGTTTTAAAGATAGTGTGAAAATATTTATTTCTGAAGTTATGTTAATTAAACCATCAGCCTATCATGTCCCGATTACCCAAGGTGGCCAAAAAACTCCTCTTAAGAGGATTTCTAACCCCATAACTTATCTATACTAAACTAATGGTAGTTCCTGGTTCTTCAGTTAACCTGAACTTTCCAAAATAGGGTTAAAGCATCTTTTTAAAAATACCTTTTATCTTGCTTAAATCATAGATAGTACTGCAAGAAAATATGGTTATGGTTATAATGCTTTGCATTTCTTAGACATTTTTATATGAAAATCTTAAATTAGATAGTGAATAAATGCAGATTTACAGCACAAGGAACTTCATACAATTCAAACCCGCAACTAAGAAAAAAAACAGTCCACTGCACTTCCAACTGATATCCATTAAGTCAATATTAACAAAGAACGTTCTACATTCATCAGCATTACTTTCCAAATCAGACCACACACGTACTCTTCATAACTGATGGCGGAGAAATTCCAAATGTCATTTTAACAAAAGCTATCCTTAGTACCACCTTAAAAAGTTGATCACCATCTCCAAAAGGGGGGAAATGTTCCCCTCTTATAGTTTGTGCTCCCCGAACAAATGTTCTATGCAGCACACAGAATGAGGTCTCCTCAATTCTACAATATTTGGCTCTACTCTCCTTCTAACCCTTAAGCAACTGTTTATGTATTTACAATATCTGTGCACAGCTCCAAGGCTTGACGTTCACAAATAAATAGCACACTGAAAGAACAATTTCATCTTCATCATTTAAATAAACTCATTTTAGCCAGTTTTAGAAAACTTGATCACATATATGCACTCTCTCTACAGAACCTGTGCAACGCTTTCTGCTAACCTGTTACAATTTATCACACACTCCTCTAAGATCAAGGTTAGTCCAAAGCCAAACCAAATCCCACCAGACAGATATTTTAAAAAGAAAATGACTTGCCTGCTTCAAAATTATCCTGAAGTTTTCGTGGATGAAGTTTCTTTTCACATTTCTATTAAAAAAAATAATAAACACAACATACCATCTCCATTTATCTCACTTATTGTAAGTAAGAAGATATGTTATCAAATTTCTCAGGAAGAAAATTAAACCAGGAATATAATCACAATCCCCATTCCCGCATTGGTATTTTTAATTTTATATTTTTAAGTCTAAAACTTTTTTAGTTTTTGCATACATATATAATATAGAAACACCAGAAAAATAAAATTATTCATTACATTTCTCAACCCAGAGGTAATTACTATTAACATTCCAGTGTAAAAATAACAAAAACAAATTAGAAAGTCAGCTTTTTTTCTATGAAGATACGTGTGAATTATTTTCATAAGACAAAATGGAGTTATTCAATATATACTATTATTCTATAACCTACTTTTTAAATGCAATATATACTGTGAACATATTTTTTCAGTAAATACAAACCTTACCACTATTTTTTTTTAATGACTACCTGGTAGCATAGTGCATAGATTTACAATATTGCATTTAATATTCTCTTCTTGGATATTTAGATTGTTTTCATTATTAAAAAGAGTAATGGGGTAAATATTCTTTAAATTTCTCTTTTAAAGAATCAAGGTAGGAACTTTTTCAGGTTTTCAATATAACCAAACTACAGTCTAGACAGCTATATCAATTATTAATTTTAAATGTTGCCAAAACACTCAACAACACACATCTGAGTATCTTTCCATCTTTGCCAACCTGATGGGGAAATGTGTAGTAACAATGAAAGGCACTCAGTCTAAGAGTCAACTGATCTTGAACATGTCTTTGCTATTGGAATCAATAAGCCCCAAGTTGGGTACAGCACCTAGAGAATTAAGGTAAAATATTTTTGCTGAAAACTTAAAATTACTGTTATCACCCACTGTTAAAGAAAAATAGGTGAAGCTAGTAGAAAATTCAACGTACAAACATCAGGACTCACAGAAAAGATAAGCAGGGAGACCATCAGTTATGAATTACTTTCTGGAGCACAGACTAAAGAAATGGAAGTAAATGCCTTAAAATGTTCAGTGATTTGTCTTTGAGCCTAATCTAATAACCATAGCACTTGCTGTGTTTTATTTTTAATTTTCTAAATTCTGTAAACTTGAAGGGATATACATTGTGGTGTTCTTCCAAACTTAACTTCATTAAAATAATATAGGTTCTATTTAGAAGAATGTAGACAGAACAATAGCCAAGGACATGCTGTGGAAAGCAGAGCTGACTATTTACAGTATGACTGGGTTGTCGGAAAAGTCATGACGCATGTTTGCAACAGATGGCACTACTTTTTGGAAGTACTAGAGTCATTCGGATCTATCTTATTGCTGTGTCATTTGACAGCTGACAGGTCTCACTTCATTCTAAAAAAAAAATTGAGCGATTTGGTTGAGTTTTGAAGATTTTACAAGTTGAAGATGAAAGACCAAACCGTGCATTTTTGCCATATTTCACTGTTTTACATCCATAAAGGGAAGAATGCGCATCAAGCTTGTGAAAAGTTGCATAAAGTTTACGGTGACAATGCTCTACAAGAACGTCAGTGCCAAAGATGCTTCATGAAATTCCGTGCTGGTGGTTTTGATCTCAACGACGCTCCTCGGTCAGGGAGGCCCACCAAGGTTGATGATGACAAAATAAAGGCACTGATTGAGTCAAACCCATGTTACACGACACGAAAGACTGCAGAAACATTGAACATCCATCATTCAAGCGTTAACGACCATCTGAAGAAGCTGGGATACATAAGCAAGCTCAATATTTGGGTTCCACATGAGCTCAAAGAAGTTCATTTGACAGCACATATAAACATCTGCAATATGCTCATTAAACGTGAGAAAAACGATCCTTTTGAAGCGACTAATGAGAAGTAGATTGTTTACAACAACGTGGTGTGCAAACGGTCTTGGTCCTGACGTGATGATTCACCTCAAAGGACATCGAAAGCAGACATTCATCAGAGGAAGGTTATGCTCTCAGTGTGGTGGGATTTT